CTGATTATTAGAACATTACCTATAGAGCTGGGTAACAATCTTTACAAGTAACTTTTATGAGACCCGAAAAGAAGAAACTGACACCAGATTCGTAATAAGCGACCCTAAAAACCCCAGAGTACTGAATTTCAAGCAAATTCAAGCAAGTTTTAAAAAATGGTCCGCCATATTGTATTCGCCATTATGAATTTTGAAAAACTAACATCAGATTCGTGATCAGCGACCCTAAAACCCCCCGAGTACTGAATTTTAAGCAAATTCAAGCATGTTTTAAAAAATGTGTATGCCATTTTAGATCCGCCATTTTTATTTTTGAAAAACTGACATCAGATTCGTAATCAGCAACCCCAAAAACCCCCGAGTAGAGAGTTTCAAGCAAATACGAACGATTTTTTAAAAAAATTCCGCCATATTGGATCCGCCATTTTGAATTTTGAAAAACTGACCTCAGATTCGTAATCAGTGACCCCAAAAACCCCCGAGTATTGAATTTTAAGCAAATTCGAACGATTTTTTAAAAAAAGTCCGCCATATTGGATCCGCCATTTTGAATTTTGAAAAACTGACCTCGGATTCGTAATCAGTGACCCCAAAAACCCCCGAGTGGAGAGTTTCAAGCAAATACGAACGATTTTTAAAAAAAAGTCCGCCATATTGGATCCGCCATTTTGAATTTTGAAAAACTGACCTCGGATTCGTAATCAGTGACCCCAAAAACTCCCAAGTAGAGAGTTTCAAGCAAATACGAACGATTTTTTAAAAAAAGTCCGCCATATTGGATCCACCATTTTGAATTTTGAAAAACTGACAGCAGATTCGTAATCAGCGACCCCTAAAACCCCCGAGTACTGAATTATAAGCGCATCCAAGCAGGTTTTAACAAATTTTTTCGTCATATACTATAATCTAAGTAGGTGGTACACTGGTGTACCGCTGTGCTTCAAAGGGTTAAACGGTTGTCAGCTATATCACATATACAATAATAAAAATTTTTTCCCTCATCCCAAGGCTGATTGGACGAATTGAGCGATCACGGATTGGGGCCCGTAAAGGGAATTGGTATACCTTCACTCTATCGGCCTTTCCCGGGCTCAGACCTCGAGTAAGCCAATTACAGCGGTGGGCCTGTGTGGCGTTCTCGGGCTTCATGACAATATTATTTTATGACGCTTAATGAGTTTTTCAAAAAAAATTATAAAATTTTTAAATATAAACATTGTTCAATTTATTTTGATATATTCGTTTTCCTCAGAAGTTCACGATTACGAGCATATATTGCTCCAATAATAATAAATGTTAATATTCAAAAGTTTTATAATTTTAGTTCAATTCAATAAACCTACATGATGTGCTGTACATCGATTTAACCTAAAGGTGCTGGAACCAAAAATTTTCTTCTTGCTTTTTATTCTCCAGTACATATAACCACATGGTGATTGCTCGAACCGGGCTGGTGATGTGGGGAACACAACTTCACCTTTCAGGACAGTATTAAAAAGGTCATCGACCATTTTACGAACCTTCAACCGAAAGATGTTTTGACAAAACAAATTTCAGGTAGAAACCCTCGAGAACCCTAATTATCAAAGTAAAGATATATGTATATGTATATATAACACAGGCCAACAAAATTTCAAGAATTTCATGATGCCCAAAGGGTTTCAGCCGATTCTTATAGGATTTTGTCCGTAGAATCCGAATCTGGCCATGAAAATGCTGGATTGGCTCTAGTTTTCGAGCAATTTAGGTTTAAAGATGTCAAAAACTGCATTTTTGGCACTTTTTGAACGTCTGTAAAACAATTAAGCTACACAATAAAACAGTCCGCATACGACGAAGTAAAAGCTTAATTATTACCCTTTGAGACCCTAAAACAAAAGATTAGGTAATTTAAACTTTAAAATATTGGGAACAGTTTTTGAACTCACGGATGCCCGAATTATGCTCAATGCTTTCACGTGCATTTCCTAATGCATAGGACTGAACTTAAATTGTTTTTTCTGGATTTTTGAGCCGTTGACTACGAATTTGAAGTCAGGTTTCAAAAATTCAAAATGGCGGAGCCAACATGGCGGACACAGAAATTAAAAATTGTTAGGTTTGCCAAAAAACTTGGTACAGGGGAGTTTTTGGGGTCGCTGATTACAAATTTAACGTCACATTTTAAAAAATTTTACTGACGGATTCAATTTCGCGGATATAAAAATTAAAAGTTTGTATTTTGATAAAACTTGGTATTCGAAAGTTTTCAGGGTCGCTGATTACAAATATAAAGTCAGATTTTAAAAAGTTAAAATAGCGGATTCAATATGGCAGACAAAAGAAATTGAAAATCTTTCGGATTGTCATAAGACATGATTCTAGGGAGTTTCTGGTGTCGCTAATTACGAATTTAAAGTTAGATTTCAAAAATTTTAAATGGTGAATACATTTTGAATTTTTGAAATCTGACTTTAAATTCGTAATCAGCGACCCCAAAAACTCCCCAGTACCAAGTTTTATGACAAACCCAACGATTTTTTAATTTTCGTGTCCGCCATATTGGATTCGCCATTTTGAAATTTTGAAACCTGACTTCAAATTCGTAGTCAACGGCTCAAAAATCCAAAAAAACACAATTTAAGTTCAGTCCTATGCATTAGGAAATGCACGTGAAAGCATTGAGCATAATTCGGGCATCCGTGAGTTCAAAAACTGTTCCCAATATTTTAAAGTTTAAATTACCTAATCTTTTGTTTTAGGGTCTCAAAGGGTAATAATTAAGCTTTTATTTCGTCGTATGCGGACTGTTTTATTGTGTAGCTTGATTGTTTTACAGACGTTCAAAAAGTGCCAAAAATGCAGTTTTTGACACCTTTAAACCTAAATTGCTCGAAAACTAGAGCCAATCCAGCATTTTCATGGACAGATTCGGATTCTACGGACAAAATCCAATAAGAATCGGCTGTAACCCTTTGGGCACCAAAATTTTGTTGGCCAGTGTAATCTAATAATAATGAGAAAATTCAAGTACTAAGAAAATGTGAATGAATGAAGGAATTAATACAAAGATTATTATAATATAATAATAATAATAATTAAATTTACTGCAGAATTCGTTGTTATCAGACCCTCTTGGAGAGTTCATATGAGTTTTGCAAAACATTAATGTTGAGTCTTGACTGATCAGTCTATATTATTAAATTATAACTTTTATATTTTTTGAAAATAATTTTTGATATTTTTTAATAATAATTGTTATCTTATTTAATATTACAATTCACATTTTTAAAATGACGTTTAACAAATACATAATCTAAAATTATGTGAAAAATAACGCGTAAAAAGGTGCAGCAAAGCTCAGATTGTTAATTGAAATTTTACAACTTTGCACTTTCTATTTTATTATATCTTCAAAAACAATGTGTAAGGTAGATGTTTAAAAAAACAATATTCCAATATTCATTTGTAAGTCCTTTGAAATTTTGTTTATTTTCTAAGGATTTTATGTATACTTGAAAAAAGTCTCAAATTCGGTTTATAACTATAAGCTCTTTGTAATATTTCGGTAAACTCATATATTTTATTAGGGGTAAATTGGTAGGCACCAGATTAGCCGCGCTCATCGAGACCCTTCCAATGACTCATTATATGCAAACGTCTATATGCAGGTAATTTCCCTCTCTGTAAGAAATTGTAATTTCGTGACATTTCGGAAAAGTTCGGAATTTTCATTAACAGTTTCTACCTGCACTTTTCAAGAGAAAAACTTAATATCATCTCGATCGTCTCTTAAGGTTGAGCTGTCGTCGCCGAGCCAACCAACTACCATGTGTAACCGTACAAGTAATCTTCAAAATTTTATTATGTATTAAGTGTTAGGACAAATAAATAATATTTATGTTTTATGTAAAAAATGAAATAAGACATGTTCAATTTTATTTAAAAATTACCTAACACCATTCCAGTACACAGTACAAAACATTTTTTGGTCCTTCGAGCTGAATAGTTTATACAAGTGCGCGTTAATTTTGCTAAGTGTAAGCTATTGTCTTTGTTGATGAAAATGAACTTTTTCATTACAATTTTCAAGCATTAATGATTTTAAAATCAATGTGACACCCAACAACTGTTGATTCATTAAATTTAGTAATTTTAAAATCTGGTTAAACTTCAAATAACTTTTTTACAAGTTGAATAGTTTGAAACAACAGCATAAGTGTGTTGAATTTCAAATAACTTGTTTACAAGTTAAATAGTTTAAAACAACAATCTAGTGTGGTGACTTTTAAATTCACTAATTAAAAATAGTGAAAAGTACAGTGTTTTTTTGGTGAAAATACATATGCATTTTATTTGCACAGTTAAGTGTTTTTTTCAATCTTTGTTAAACAAAGACAAGTCAGCGCCTACAAGAGAGATTAAAGTACGACTTCATGGTTTAGTACAAGACACTATATTTTTAACAAATTTAAATTGTTTATTTTAATTTGTCTATTCGAGAGTATATAAGCAGCCAATCACCAGTTGAAGATCCTGTCACAGCCTCCTGCCAGTCAACGGATTTCAAAGTAAGTCAAAGAAATTGCTTATTTAAAAAGTGACAAAAATTCCGTAATTTTCTTCCTTTACTCTTATATATTTGAACTCTGGTGAAAATATTTTTTTTTCTGTCGCATTCCTTTTAAATAAAAAAAATTGTCTGAAAACGATATAGAAGAACAATTAAAGGAATTAAAAATTGATCGAGGTAGCATTAAACGCCAAGTAACAAACCTCGAAACTTTGTTAAATTCCATTAATTCTGAAACAGATTTAAAAGCATTAAGTTTAGAAAAACGGTTATAAAAACATTCAGAATTGTGGGACAAATTTGAGAAAATTCAAGGTACAATAGAATCGTTAGATATTAGTTCGAAGACACAGTTCACAAAGGGGAAAGAAACTCATTCGAAAATAGATTTTACAGAGCGGACGGAAAAATTCGAAAATTTTTGAAACAAATAAAGTCAACTGAAATTATGTCCAATTCAGGGTCAATATCAGTGCAAGGAAGTTCGATTAGTGGAGAAAATCCAGCAACAAATGTAGATTCAAACGCATCTCAATATCCAGCTGCATTTCAACTTCCAAAGTTTCAAACGCCGGAATTTCATGGCACATTTGACACATGGTTGCAATTTCATGATACATTTAAATCAATGTGTCATGATAATTCTTCAATACCAAATGTTCAAAAGTTTTTATTTTTAAAAACATGTGTCAAAGTTGAAGCAGCGCAAGTTATATCATCGCTTGAAATATCAAGTGAAAATTATGTTGTGGCATGGAACCTTTTAAAGTCGCGGTTTGATAATAGAAAGCACATTGTAGAAAGTCACATTAAAGAACTTCTTGACATTCCTTCTATTTCAAAGGAATATACGAATCGTTCATTGCTCGATAATGTTTAAAAACGTATTCGAGCTTTGCAAGCTCTTGAAGAACCAGTTGAACAATGGTCAACTCTTTTAATCTTTCTTATTCGCGAGAAACTCAATCATTATACTCGCGAAAAATGGGAAGAATCCGTGGGCAGTACGAAATTTCCCACATTAAAGGAATTTTTCCATTTCTTAGAACGACGTGCTATTTTAGAAGGCACGCAATCCCTTCATAAGGCTCAAAATCAAAAACACAATGGTAATTTTATTTCAAAAAATAATTTGAACCATCGACACAAATTTACGGGAAAACAATCGCAAACGCAAATTCAAATAAATTAAATTGTTTTTTATGTTCGGAACCACATGCGCTCGCGACTTGCAATAGATTTCTCAATCGTACGCCGCAAGGTAGATATAATATTGTTAAGAAAAATAATTTATGTCACAATAGTTTTTACAAAAATCATAAAACAATTGATTACCGCAAATCGCGTTGCAGTAAGTGTCAAAAACCACATAATGAGCTTTTGCATTTTGAAAAATTAGAACAAATAGTTCAACACACTGACGTAATTTCATCCCATACTGAGGAAAGGGCTCGCGAAGATACTATCTGTCACATGAGCTTCCCCGTTTCAAACCCAGCTTATGTAATTTTAGGAACGGCAAGTTTAAAAATTTTAGATTCAAAAGGGCAGTACCGTACTTGTCGCGCTTTATTAGACAGCTGTTCTCAATGCAACTCAATTACAGAGAAATTTGCTTTAAATTTAGGATTGAACTTAAACAAATTAAATGTTAAATTGAAGGGTGTGGAAAATTTAGAAGAAATTTAGAAAAATTAATTACTGTACCACAACCACAATTAAATCAGGATTAAATGACAATAAATTTAAAATGTCATTTTTAGTTTTCAAAGAAATAAGCACGCGAATGCCCATGATATCGCTTGACAGAAAATTGTTTTCTATCCCACTAGGTATTGTCCTCGCAGATCCTGAATTTGACAAACCAGCTGACATTGATATTTTAATCGGTGCAGTACAATTTTATGACCTTATAAGACAAAGAAAGATTTCAATGAAGGGGCAAACTGCAATACTGCAATAATCGGAATTAGGTTGGATCGTCGCCGGATGATATAGTAACTCCGAAAATGTAAAAAAAGAGTACAAAACTTCATGTCAAAAAATAAACTTTAAATATCTTCCTCTTTTATGGGAACTCGGTCCTGAAAATTCTTCTAAGTTTTATTCTCGAGAAGAACAAGATTGTGAAAATGATTATACAAATAACACTGTTCGAAAAAGTACAGGTTCGTATGAAGTGAAATTGCCGTTTAACGAAAAGAAAAATTTGTTAGAAAATTCTCATAACACAGCAATTCAACGCTTTCATTCGCTTGAAAGAAAATTTGAGAAAAATCCCCAACTCAAGGCAGATTATACTGAATGTATACAAGGATATTTAGATGAAGGTCATATGTCGTTAGTTATAAGCAAAGAAAATTCATCTCAAGGGGGATATTTTTTACCTCATCACGCTGTGATAAAGGGTGATAGTCTGACCACAAAAACAAGAGTAGTTTTTGATGGTTCTGCAAAAACCACTTCGGGAATTTCATTAAATGATGCTCTTATGGTAGGTCCAACCATTCAGCAAGATTTATTTTCGATCGTGATTAGATTTCGAACGTTTCAATTTGTTTTTACGGCTGATATAAAACAAATGTATAGGCAAATTTCTGTTTCGCCAGAAGATGCTTGTTTTCAAAAGATTGTGTGGCGCAACGATCCCAAGGAAGAAATTCAAACCTACAAATTAAATACAGTAACCTTTGGGACAGCGTGTGCACTATTTTTGGCTAGTAGAACTCTTCATCAATTAGCTAATGATGAACAAGAATCTCACCCTATCGCTTCATCAATTTTAAAAGAAGATTTTTTTGTCGATGACTGCTTAAGCGGATCAAATGACATTCAAGAAGCTCTTTATATGAGAAATGATCTCATTAACTTGTTGAAAAAGGGAAATTTTGTTTTAAGAAAATGGTCATCAAACTGTCCAAAATTGTTAGAGGGATTTCCTTCAGAAGTTTCTAATTCTCATCTTTGTCTAGATCCAACAGAGACAGTTAAAACTCTAGGCCTTCATTGGAACCCTGTAACTGATTCATTCGGTTATTCAATCAAATTGACAAATTCAAAATTGAGATGTTCCAAGTGTTTCATTTTATCAGAAACTGCTAAGCTTTTTGACCCTTTAGGGATATTAGAGCCCATTACCGTGACCGCGAAATTAATTATTCAGCAACTTTGGAAGGCAAAATTGTTCTGGGATGATCCAGTTCCAGAATTGTTAACTTGCATAAATAAACTTATTGCTTTTGATAGAAATACGTTTGTAATAATAAATAATGTTTATTAAAATGTAAGTTTTTAGATTTATTAAATGTCATGATATTTAATTAAATAACGTGTAAAAAGGTGTAGCAAAGCGTAGATTGTTCATTGAAATTTTACAACTTTGCACTTTCTATTTTGTTATATCTTCAAAAACAATCTGTAAGGCAGATGTTCAAAAAAACAATATTACAATATTTATTTGTAAGTCCTTTGAAATTTTATTTATTTTCTAAGGATTTCATGTATACTTGAAAAAAGTCTCAAATTCGGTTTATAACTATAAGCTCTTTGTAATATTTCGGTAAACTCATATATTTTATTAGGGATAAATTGGTAGAAACCAGATTAGCCGCGCTCATCGAGACCCTTCCGATGACTCATTATATGCAAACGTCTATATGCAGGTAATTTCCCTCTCTTTAAGAAATTGCAATTTCGTGACATTTCGGAAAACTTCGGAATATTCATTAACAGTTTCTTTCTGCACTTTTCAAGAGAAAACCTTATATCATCTCGATCGTCTCTTAAGGTTAAGCTCTCGTCGCCAAGCTAACCAACTACTATGTGTAACCGTACAAGTAATCTCCAAAATTTTATTATGTATTAAGTGTTAGGACAAATAAATAATATTTATGTTTTATGTAAAAAATGAAATAAGACATATTCAATTTTATTTAAAAATTACCTAACACCATTCCAGTACACAGTACAAAACAACTAAGTATTTCAAGAATCTATTTTGTATCTTCTACAAAGCTAATCTATATTTATTAAAAATTGTATTACAGGCAAGATTAGCATAATTAAATTATGAAAGTACTAATGCATTAAACAACATGATCAATGTATCTGGATTCTTGAAACCTGCAGTGATTTGCAATAAACAACCTAGTGTATTTGCGGCGCTTAATTCAATTGATTCAATATGTGTAATAAAAGTAACTTTTGATGAGTCAAAAAGTACCCTATGGGATTAATATTTTGTTTCCTTATTAATTCAATATCTTTTATATTGTATTTATAGCTGATCGATTTCTATTGCCTAGTATTGCTTACAATGAAACATTTTTCAAGATTTAGTTTAAGCTTATTTTTTGAACACCACATTTTAAAATCGTTATGATTAGTTTAAAGAAAAATAACATTATTGAAGGATTTAATTAAATAAAATATTTTGAGGTTATCCAAATACAATAAAGTTTTGGCAATTAGAGCATTAGTAACAATATTAACTATGAATCTTAAGTAGAATTGTACTTTAAAAATTTGTAACAAAAAAAACTTAAAATTTGTTTTTACATATAAATTTTAAATTATCAAAATAGAAATTTTATAACTCACGGTCAGGGATATTCTTGAAATGCTTGTATAATGGCAAAGAATATAACTTGGCGTAGGCTAGAATCCTAGGGCAATAGCAAGTTGGGCCCAGTGGGCAAAAACCATTTTCGTTCCAAAAACGTTTTTAGAACGTTTCATGTGAGCCAAAAAATGTTCTAGAATATTATTTAAACATCCATGTTCTTAAAATATTTTAGAACATCATTTGATGGACATGAAACATGGTTTTTCGTCCTCTGGGGAAACTAGAAAAAAGCTGTACTCCACTCCTTGGAAAATCACTTTAAAATTGTTTTCAATCTACAAATAATATTTTAGTTACATTTTTGTATTTAAATTTTAAATATTTTTGATAATTATATTTAGGATAATGTGTTATTTTACCATTTCTCCCCTATAATTGAGCCGCTGAATTATAGAAGGACACATAAACTTTTTCGGCCGGAAAACGAAGTACTCTGGACACTCTAAATTCATTTTTTGAATTTTAATATTTTTCTAGTATATTCTTATACAAAATTCGATTGCGCATCTTTTTTTCTTAATAAAAAACTTTCCATCTTATTCCGGTTTCGAAATATAAGAGAAAAACTGGTTTTTTGTAAACGTAAAATTTAATTGTTTTTTTTACTTTAACTTGCGCTAGCTCAGTCAATTTTATGCGTTTTTCAATGAAACAAAAACGAAAATACGTGTTAATATATCCTACGAGTGACTAAAAAAGAAAAAAGTTGTTTTGATTAAAAATAAAAAAGTTATTAATTTTTTATTGAGACATTGCAAAATTCGTGAACTGCAATTTTGTCAATGCGGGGAAGTTTGACAAATTTTCAGGAGGAACAACCTTCCAGTGAGAAAGTTGTTGATTAAGGTCCAAAGAAGTTTTCTGGAAAGTTACAATTCAATTGAACAATTAATAACAAAATGGTGAATGTTTAAACTTTGAAGTTGTGCGAGCGGCTGAACGTTTGGCATGTGTTTGCTACGTAATAATACAATCGAGCTTATTATGGTAGCAAACACATGCCAAACGTTCGGCCGCTCGCGCATCTCCAAATTTCAAGCATTCACCATTTTGTTATTAATTGTTCAATTGCATTGTAACTTTCCAGAAAACTTCTTTGGACCTTAATGAACAACTTTCTCACTGGAAGGATGTTGTTCCTGAAAATTTGTTGAACTTCCCCGCATTGACAAAATTGCAGTTCACGAATTTTGCAATGTCTCAATAAAAAATTAATAACTTTTTTATTTTTAATTAAAACATAAGGTACCATGTAGGAAATTATGTGTCAATTTATATAGGAAATTATATGGGATTTCATGTGGTAAATTTCAGTTGGCAGAAGGCAGTTAACAAAAATTAAATAATATTAGTGCAATTTATCTGAAATTTATCTTTTATTTCTCTGGAGGATATCTATAGATATAAGAAATTAAAAGAAAAAGAAATAGTTTAGTAATATTTATAATTATATATTAAAATATATTAGACATCATAATCCTTTTCGAACTCGAAAAAATACATATCATTTTCAATCAATATAGTATATAATTAAATTAAAAAAACTTTCAAAACTAAAACGACTTGAATCGGAAATTTCCATTTGAGAATGCGGATTTACGGGACTCTCCCGACTAATTCAAAACAAGTGAATAAGTTTTTATTTCCTAGGTACCCACACAGCACCGATAACACTGCCCTGCATCGATTTTGCGAATAACATGGAACATATTGTTTCCGAACGGATTTTTTGTGCTGAACACGAATCCGGGGTCGAAAAATTTCCATCACGTCACGTTTTCGAGGAAATAGGGGTTGAAACCCCACAAAACAGGGTTTTTGGCCATTTTTGAAAAATTATACAGCGCAAACCTGACGTGGTACAAACTTTGCTGATATCAGAAATTAAATGTTGGTTCACGCCCTTTCAAACGAGCCCTTTTCGAAATTGATCGCACTCACCCTTAGAGCAGGGGGTGTGTTTTTTTCTAGGGGTTCACAAAAAAATGTAAACATAACATAAAAATTCAAAATGGATAACAATTCAATAAATCATTTTGAATTTTTGAAATCTGACTTCAGATTCGTTATCAGCGACCCCAAAAACCCCCGAGTGACCATTTTCAAGTGAATTGTTTTAAATTTTTATTTTGACATCCGCCATATTGGATCCGCCATTTTGAATTTTTGAAATCTGACTTCAGATTCGTAATCAACGACCTCGAAAATCCTTTAACTATCATGATTTATTGAATTGTTACCCATTTTGAATTTTTATGTTATGTGTACTTTTTTTCGTGCACCCCTAGACAAAAACACACCCCCTGCTCTAAGGGTGAGTGCAATCAATTTCGAATAGGACTCGTTTGAAAGGGCGTGAACCAAACTTTAATTTCTGATATCAACAAAGTTTGTACCACGTCAGGTTTTCGCTGTATAATTTTTCAAAAATCTCCAAAACCCTGTTTTGTGGGATTTCAACCCCTATTTTCTCAAAAATGTGACGTGATAGGAAGTTTTCGACCCCGGATTCGTGTTCAGCACAAAAAATCCATTCGGAAACACTATGTCCCGTGTTATTCGCAGAAAAAAATTTGAAATTTGCTGGGCAGTTTAATTCCCTGAAGGTTCACTGAATGTTTTTAGGTTACCTGGGGAAAGTTTCATTTCTGCGTTTAGAGAAGATGGTTTAAATCTTAAAATGTCCGCATTTGAGCAAATGTTTAAGGCGAAACTTAATTGAATATGCAAATTACTTTTTCGTTGAAGGTTCAAAATGAAAGTAGACTTAATATGGAAATTACATTTTCGTTAAAGGTTCAAAATGAAAGTAGACTTAATATATGAACCACTTTTACACTGGGCAAATATTTTTTTTTAAATAAATTTAATTACTGTTTAAATAATAGTCTGTTATTAATTCAACAGTAATTAAATTTATTTTAAAAAAATATTTTTGCATAGTGTTAAAGTGGTTCATATATTAAGTCTACTTTCATTTTGAACCTTCAACGAAAATGTAATTTACATATTCAGTCAAATTTCGCCTTAAACATTTGCTCACATGCGGACATTTTAAGATTTTAACCATCTTTCCTGAACGCGGAGATGGAACTTTCCCAAGGTAACCTAAAAACATTCAATAAACCTTCAGGGAATTATCGGTGCTGTGTGGGGAGTATCCTGACATAATCAAATGAATGCACATTTTTTCGTTTGTCAACGGGAAAAATAAATGGTGAATATATTCGCACGATAGGCAAATTTTCGGTAAAAACTTATTAGAAAGAGCACGCTAGAACCTCGATTTAAATTAGAAGATAGTATATAAATTGACGCACTTCGCGAATTGAATTAGTATTCATGACGATAAATTTCAGGTAAGAGTAATCGCGACACGTAGATTGGATACGATAGCTACGTGTGCATTTGATATCTAGATGGCATAAATATGCTCTATCTGTGTAGAATATTTGTGAACAATGCGTAGACATCGTTCTACCCTGCCAGCAAGTTAAATTAATAATGATAATATTATGTGCGATTCCAGGTGAGATTTTGAATTTTTCGGAGTAGGTTAACCAATTGCAATGAAATTTTGTTACATATAGTAAGACTAATCTTTAACGTAAATTGCAGCTTAAAATATTTGTTAGTTTACGAAATTTGCAATAATAACAAAAAATTTTTAATTGCTACATCTTCCGTTCTAATAATCGGATTGAGGACTACTTTTTTTAAAATGTCAAGGAAAATGAGAAGAATAAATCTCTTTCAGAACAATTTTTTATAATTTTACAACTAAAAAAATTATTAAATAATAATTGAATAAATTTCACGCGACAATCTAAAATTCAATCACTTAAACGCTAAAATGATCTTACCTGTGTTTTCTTTGATGTTCAAAAGTAATACAATTGTAAATGCAAGTTTAACTTATTTAATTTTAATAATTTACGTGTATATAAACAATTGCAATTTCTGCTAGTTGAAGTTCAAACGACATTGCGCTCGCAGCATTGTCCTGTAACTAGCTGACGTGATTCGTGGACTAAATTGGCTACGTGAGAAAGCTGCGAGCGCAATGTCGTTTGAACTTCAACTAGCAGAAATCGCAATTGTTTATATACACGTAAATTATTAACATTAAATAAGTTAAACTTGCATTTACAATTGTATTACTTTTGAACATCAAAGAAAACACAGGTAAGATCATTTTAAGTGTTTGTTTAAGTGATTGAATTTTAGATTGTCGTGTGAAATTTATTCAGTTATTATTTAATAATTTTTTTAGTTGTAAAATTATAAAAAATTGTTCTGAAAGAGATTTATTCTTCTCATTTTCCTTGACATTTTAAAAAAAGTAGACCTTAATCCGATTATTAGAACGGAAGATATAGCAATTTAAAATTTTTTGTTTTTATTGCAAATCTCGTAAACTAACAAATATTTTAAGATGCAATTTCCGTTAAAGATTAGTCTTACTATAAATAACAAAATTCCAAAGTTTTATTGCAATCGGTTAACCTACTCCGAAAAAGTCAAAATCTCACCTGGAATCACACTTATGTGATTTATTCTTAAAAAATATGATAAAATAAATTTCGTTTTAAAAATCTTTTTAAAAAAGGTTAAATTTTTTTTTAAATTCATCATTATTTCATTTCATTCCTATAGTGCGATGTTTATTATTATTGTACTTTTTCACTAGAGATGGTAAAATGTCTTCTTATTTATAATTTCCTCGTAAGTTGAACTGTGGTCACATCAAATTTTTTAATGTGCGGTTAAATCTTTCAATAATTGAACCTTTTAAATTACTATAAGTTGAATACAGTTTAATTTTATATGATTTCATTAAACTCTTAAATATTGAATTATAAAATTCTTTCCGTTTATCAGTATGCAATTTTTTAGGATTAAGTCCATTCACAAGTATAGATTCCATAGCTTCAGAAACATCTTTTCCACTCTTACTTTTTACAGGAATAGCCCATGCATACTTAGAAAATATATCTATAACTGTAAGCTTATATTTAAAACCTTTATAAACTTTAAAATAAGGTTTCATTTCAACTAAATCTGCTTGCCAGGTTTCATCAATTCCACGCATTTCTACTTTTCGACGTGGATAATTTCTCCTAGCTTGCCTATGTAACTCTGTCAGAACTGTTAACTTTTGATCATTAACCAAATAGCACGGAAACTTGCAGCAAGTTTGCTGCAAGTTTGCAGTGCAAGGTTTGAAAGTTTGTAAGGTAAGTTTGCAGCAAACTTGTGGCAAATATTGAAATGTCCTCCCTTGGCAAGTTTGCAGCAAAAACTTTCTGCAAACATGCTAAGCAAAATTGTCGAAAATATTCAAGAACAATTTGTAGCAAAATTGCGCTGGAAATTTTTAGAAATTTTAAAAGGCAAGTTTTAATAAAATAAATATTTAATAGTTTTATGAAAATTATTTTGTTAATTTCTTTTAAATTTAAATAATTAAATCACAGAATAGAAAAGGAGAAATAGCGAAACAAGTTATTAAAAGAAGATCTTTATTTCAATGATAATGTACACATGGAGAAATTTTTTACAGAACATTTTAAAATTTTAGCACAATTATTTGCGATGTTACTGGCTTAAAAACATAAAAATAAAGTTAAATAAGAAAAGAACGAAAAACTTATGAATAAGGTAGAAGCTTTTTCGCAGGACGTAAAATCAAATGGCTAAAGGGATAACAAATCAGAAAATAGGTTATTTATGTAACAAATCTTTTGTAGATTATAGTTTAAAATTATTGTAACATTTTTTAAATCACACTTTGACTTGTTTTGTCTTTCCTCCAGTCTAATCAAATTTTTTGATTTCTTAGCTACAAAGTCAAAAGTAATAAAATAATAAAGTAAAATAAATTAAATAAATATAAAAAGAAATTTCCATATAAAGTACTGGTTCTCTAACACGATTTTGAAAGTATTAAAATTTCCAAAAAAACTAATAAACATCCAGTTTCCGGTCTTGACTGAAAAAAATTTTTAATATTGTAGTTTCAATAGATTCAGTAAATTTTATTGGATTTTGTAATTTCGTTAAAGCAAAAAAATTACATAAAAACATTTGAAAAAAAATTCGAAAATACAGAGATAAAAAAATAAAAATCATACAAAAATTGAAATGCAAAAAATAAATAAAAATTAAGAAATAGAATATAAAAATACAAAATTAAAGAATAATGAAATAAATAAAAATGGGAAATAGAAAAGTAAATTAAAAATTTAATAACGTAGAAACATCTTTGACATTTTTTCGAAAATATTAAATACATCTTAAAAAATTAATAATTTTCATTGAGTGATATTTAAAAAACTTACTATTATTTCTCTAACCAAGACCAAAAATCCTTTAAATATATAAAGGAAATATTTGTAAAGGAGGATATTCCTCAGGTCTTTTAATCGTCAGCTTCTGATAAGGACGATTCATCCAAATTTGCCAGCCTTTCGATTTCTCTTTGTTTCTCCAAAGAAGCTCTGAAATTTATAAGTAAGTTTTCAATTTTTCTTCGCTATTTTATAAAATAACATGATAATAATCGAAAATAAGATTATTATGATTATTTATCATAATATACTTACTGAAATCGATCATTATAATTTTTTGCTTGGTTTAACCATTCTGTGATTCCACTTTTGGCATCAGCCCTATTAATATCAAGTTTCATGGCAGCTTCTAAATTTATGAAAATTGATTTTAAAACATTGTATTTAATTTATATCAATATATATATATTAGATCAATCTGATACATTTGGTAAATAGTGCTAAATTTTTTTAATTTTAAAATAAACGATAACGAACATATGTTTATTAACTTGAAAGATATGATTTATTTGTTAAAATGATCTATAAATACGTTATAGTGTTATCAAAGGATTTTTACTGTAGTAAAAACATTCTTAAAAAATATAATTAGAGAATAATACTCACTGTAGATTACTGAATTTAATCTTAAAGATTTAAAAGCCGGTTTCTTCTGCTTGTTATACATTTTCCCGTGAAATGTGTAAGCTTGTCCAAGTTCGTAGGTTAGTAATTGATCCATCATATTCCTCATAATTAAGCTTACACTTTTTTCTTTCCCTAAAAGCTCTAATGCATCCATCTGAAAAAATATTTATTTTAAATATAATTATTAATAGAAATTTGAAATTATCATTTTACAATGTAAGTTAATCTTTAGATTTTATTTATAATTTTTACTCCATTAATATACTAATTCTGGGTTTATATACATATTGAAATTAAATAAATAAATAATTAAGTAGAAATAAAATGTAAATAATTATATTACATACCACTGTATTTCGAAATCTTTTCGACTTGAGTTTTTTCTCAATGTCCACCATTTCGTTTAAAATTTTCGCAGGAAACATCTTTAAATCACCCTGTCCAAAGATATTCAATTTCTTTGAATTCATTAAAGATCCGTCGTTTGAAGTTGACAGTTTTATATCAATTTCAGTTAATTTTTTTAAAATTAACTTTGAACGATTTTCTGCAAAAATGATATCACTTAATTTAATAATGAACTGACAAAGCAAGAGTTAATTTAAAAAATAATCACTTGTATTTTTTAAACATTTTAGTAATGAATTGAAACATATTCAACATTATTGTCATGAAGTTTATAATACATAAAGGATTTATGTATTTATAAAGTACTACAGAATTTTTACCTTCTTCTTTGTGTTTACTTCTTTCTGCGGAAGAACTCAACGTAGAAGGTAAGATTTTATCTTCTTGACGATTAGTTTTTGTTTCACGATAATTTGAAGTAGAAGGTAAAGTATTTGCAGGTCTTGAATGACTTTCTTTTTTAAAATCTCTAATTACTTTTTTATGGTTAGCATGTTTAGGTTTAGTATCACCTAAGGAAGAATACGATGTTGAAGGTAACATTGTTGAGTTTATCAAATGTTTCTCTTGCTCTGAGGCTCGAACTGCTTCTGAATAATTAATGTCTATCAAGAGTGGATATTTGGAATGAATTTGATCAGAATGATCTTTATGTGTGAAATGATTTCCATCTAAATTCCTTTCATCTTTGGATTTTCCTCAAAATTATTTTCATTTGTAGAATCATTTTTCTTAAAATCATTTTCATATTTCGAATAATTTTCCTCAAAATCACTTTCATCTTTCGAATGATTTTGCTCAAAATCATTTTCATCTATCGAATGATATTCTTCAAAATTATTGTCACGTTTAGAATCATTTCCATTAATATCAACTTCAGACTTTTGTGCTACACACAAAACTTTCGTTATAACAGCTAAAATTTACAAAATGTTAAGAACTAATTAAGTGGTGGTTTAACTGAAAATAAAATAATAAATCTCGTTGTCAAAATAAAAACTTACATAAAGGTTTGTGTTTTTTTGTTACCCTCATTTCATTTTCGTATTCATCTTTTACTTTAATAGATCTTGAGTGTCTAGTTTTTTTAAGTTTTAGCATGTTCTGAGCATCATCGCTCTCTACATCTGGTTATTTCAAGTTTAAATCTAATTTTTTTAAAGCAATTTCGTAAGAGCCTACAACATTAAAGAGAATGATTTTGAGAAATTAGCATATTAATATGTAAAATAAAAATACTTTCAAGAAAAAATGACTAAAAAAAAGAAAATGAAAAATAAAGAAAAGGAAAGGCAAAAATGTTATGAAAAAGGAAAGTTAAATTAAAATTTATCGATAAACGAGAAGTTAAACATTGGCGAAAGTGATTTTTTCTAATTATTGTACAACTCACGTGATTTAAATTTCAATTAATTATCAATTTTTGAAATTCTCTGGTTGAGTTTTCACTGACAATTTATAAATAATTGATGGATATATAAATTTAAAATTTTCATTTAGAGGAATCAGAGGAAGGACATTTAATGTCAATCTAGATTATCAAATAATTTTCCTCAAATTTCAATAATTCTAACATGTTCGTATATATGATAACTTTATGCTAAAAAAAATTGCGACCAATTTAAATCAATTAAATTTCTTCTTAATTTGAGTCAGAGGAATGACGCCTTATGTTCTAAATGTTTGAAAAAACCTGCATTTTTATTTTTTTAAATTCAAATAATGATTCTTTGAAAAAAATGTCATGTGAAATTAACGAAAGAGGTGTCAATACAAACGTTTAACACAATAAATAAAAAAAAAAAATAACTCTATTTATAAGTAACAAAAATAGTGGATAATATTCAAGAGGTCAGAGGAATGACGCAAGACTAAGGAGACAAAATTTGTTTTCTATATTTAAAAAACTATAAAACTTTTATTTATATTTTGAAAAAATTGTTTCAATATCACATCTTTTAAAAACAATTTATAAAATATTTGTTTATGTGTTTAATAATTGTTTTATGTGTTAGAAGATTGGAAAATAGTTTAAGGAACTGTTATAGCACATTCGGTTATGTGCTCCAAACTGCTCCAAGAGTGCTCCAACTCAGAACCATGTGTTCGGGTTGGCAACTCTGCTCTGGAGCAAATCGTGTAGCGTATTCGACTTGACAACACCGCTCCGAGAGCAGGCAGAACACGTGTTCGTGTAACACGCTCCGCTATGTCACAGAGCATTTTGCGTATTCGAGATACAAATCCTGCTCCACGACAGGGCAAAAAACGTATTCGGTTAGTAACATAAATCCACCCCGGAGTAAAGTTGAAGTTATGAATAAATTTCTTATAGAAAAAAGAGATTGTCCTAAAATTAAAGGTTATGTCAGAATAGTGTTAGAAGAATATGATAATATAGAGGTTAGTATTTATGTGTCACTCAGGTATATATATAATCTGTATAAGTTATGCTATTTTTGGGTTTTCATTTATTATAATAAATTTCAGTTTAAAAGAAATTTTAGAGTATTTCTTAAACTTTAGGAAATGTATGAAAACTCTAATTTTATTAGTTCAAATAATCATGGTTTACCATGTACCTCAACCGAGTCACAAATCTTGCAGTTTTTGTGGTGAGTTTTATGTACAAGTATATAATAAATATTTTCTCTGTATAGATATAGAAACGTAAGAATAGTTTTTTTGTAGTTGTTCATAAAAAATTAACCATTTTTCTTAATATATGCAGGTTTGCGGGAAACAAATGTGTAATTCGAGATGTTACTGCAGGGTTTGATGTTGCAGAGTCAACTTGCCATGCTAAATAAATAATGTTATGAATTTTTTAATTGACATTGCACCTCAGATAATTAAATTTCCAAGAAGTGAACAAGAAAAAACAGCAGGTGCCGAAAAGTTTGAAGAAGTAAGTATATCAGTATTATTAATTAATTATTTATTTTAAAAAACTATTCGCGTATTAGAATATGACAATTAATGGAACTAAAAATGTACGTTTAATTTATTAAAGAATTTTATTTTTTAAGATTGCAGATTTTCCTGGAATTATTGGTGCCATAGATGGCAGTTACATCCCAAAAAGAACCCCAGCAGACAAAGTAAAAAGTACTTACGTCAACCGACATGATCAAACGGCGTTAAGTTTACAAGGAATTTGTGACGCAGAAAAAAAATTTATAGATGTTTTCACTGGAATATCTGACAAAGTTCACGACTCCACTCTATTTAAAATGTCCTTTATTTACTATGAAATTGTTGCAATTTGTGGTGAAAAGTGGCACTTAATAGGCGATGCTGCATATGGGATAAGGAAATGGTTGTTAGTGCCTTATCGTTATTACGGGAATATGTCACAGGAACAAAAACATTTTAATAAAAAATTGTCGCAGAGTAGGGTAAAAATTGAAAATGTTTTTGGGTTATTAAAAGTACGATTCCGACAATTACAAAAACTAGACTTTTTAACTGTCAAAAAAATGTCACAATTTATAATGGCTTGCTACGTATTACATAATTTATGTATTTTAAATGAAGATGAGTGGGATGATTATATAAAGGTGACAATGATTAAAATAAGTATACTCCTGATGCGAATGAAAATATTAATGAAAATCACGAAAAAACATTATGAGAAATTAAAAGGGATGAAATGTGTTACAAATTTTCAAACATTAGGTAAAAAATTTTGAATATTTTTTACGTTATACGTTTATATAATACATTTAAATTGTTTATATAACATTTTAAGAAATAAATATATTATATAAAAACTACTTTATAGTATTTAAATATATATACTATCATTATCATAATATATAAAAATAATTTTTTAATAAAAAAGTAAAGAAATTTAATTTTCAATATAACTATAATGAATAAAAAATCAATTTTCTGATGCTTGCTGATGGTTACTCCTTCCTTCGAATAGTTGCTTTAAAAGTGACATTTTTTCCTCATGCCTTTTTTGTTTTGCAGTTTCTTTCATTTCAATAATTTCTTGAAATTTTGCCATTTTGGCTTTGTGAATTTTCCACTGCAATTGGTCTTCTACCTGTTTTGTTTTTCTGCTCTTTAAAATGTCTAAAAAAAACAATTACAAATATATATTAGTAAAAGCTGCAAATGTAAAATTTATATATATATATATATATATATATATATATATATATATATATATATATATATATATATATATATATATATATACTCAAACATGGTTTCTCTGTTATAAACACTTAATAAACGAAATTTTTTTTGATAAAATATCAATTATAAAAATGTAATTTTGATACTCATAGTACTTACCTCAAAATTTTCACATTTATCTAATATTTTTGGTGAAAGATTGTCTTGCTGTAATTGCGTCAAAATCCCACAAGATTCCGAAATGCGTTTAGATAAATTCATAACGCAATGTTGTCCTATAAAAGCAATAAGTTTACTCTATATGAAATATAAATCTATCTATCTTACTCTAAATTGAATCCTTTTTGTAAATATTTATTCATTCTAATTCATACGTTAATATTTATAAATAAAAAATTATTATTTACATTTCAGCTAAAATTTGTAAAAAATAAATAACATTTATTATACAGTTTTCGGCTATTTATTTATTTTCTAAAAACTTTCAAATATATAATGTATATAATAATTTTTATTTACAAATGTTTAAATAATTAAAAATAATAAATATTTACAGAAGGATTCACGTTATATATTTTTTTTATATATTTTTTTTATTATTTCTCTCTATGTACATCTCTTTGGATTGAATTCACGTTATATATACACTCAGATAATATTACGAATAATTACACTGGTCGACAAAATTTAGGTTTTTTTTGCCACAAGAGTAAACGATGGTGATTCTTATAGGATTTTTGACGTAGATTACGAATCTGTAAATGAAATTGTCCCATCACGTCTCAATTTTGAGAAAAACGGGCTCAAAGTGTCAAAAAATCGCATTTTTGGCACTTTTTGAAGCACTATAAAAAAAGAACGCGACGTGATAAACGGCTCAAATATGGCTTAAATAAGAACTAGTACGCTCAACTTTAACCTCCAGAAGCAAAATACCATGTACCAATAACTCAAAATTGTGGGCAACATTTTTTTACCGCGTGCGCGTCCAGCAGATATTGTTCCCACGATAAAATGAAATAAATTGCTGAAATCGTCGTCAAAGACACAAGATCGATTTAAATTAACTTCAAATTGGTTACTCGGGGGTTTTCGGGGTCGCTGATTACGAATCTGATGTTAGTTTTTAAAAATCCAATATGGCGGATCCAATATGGCGGACGATTTTTGGAATAACTTAACATATTAGTCTGAAAATCGTTACGCGGGGGTTTTCGGGGTTGTTGATTACGAATCTGATGTCAGTTTTTAAAAATCCAATATGGCGGGTCCAATATGGCGGACGATTTTTGGATTAACTTAACATATTAGTCTGAAAATCGTTACTTGGGGGTTTTCGGGGTCACTGAATAGGAATCCGATGTTAGTTTTTCAGAATCCAATATGGCGGAACTAACATGGCTTGACTATTAAATTACTACAAATTTTTTTGAAAGGAGTTATTTAATGAATAATTTAATTTTTTCTTTTTTACGCAGTTACATGAAACTTCTTTTTACTAATCCAATATAAAAAAACTTTATTGAGATAAAAATGTGACGTTTCATTTATTTTGCACCATTAAGGATTTTAATTTTATTTCTTTTACATTTTCAAGGAGTTCAATTGATGAGCTCGCTGTCAGTTTGTTTCTAATTTTTTGTGAACGAAAAAAGTAGACGTTAAAAATGAAGCTTGATGTTTTCTGTTGTTTTCATTTTCACGCCGTATTAATTCGCTTGATCGTTTTTTGTTTTCAGTTCAACTTTTCTTGTGACATTTAAAAGCCTTTCAGTTATAAAAAACGAAAGTTACAACGCGTTTTTACATATTTTTTAAACTTTACTTAATTCGATGTCGTTATTTTATTTAATGTGTAGTTAAAGTTGTTCTTTTCATTGTTCATTGTTCAGACTAATATGTTAAGTTATTCCAAAAATCGTCGGCCATATTGGATCCGCCATATTGGATTTTTAAAAACTAACATCAGATTCGTAATCAGCGACCCCGAAAACCCCCGAGTAACCAATTTTGAGTTATTGGTACATGGTTTTTTGCTTCTGGAGGTTAAAGTTGAGGGTACTAGTTCTTATTTAAGCCATATTTGAGCCGTTTATCACGTCGCGTTCTTTTTTTATAGTGCTTCAAAAAGTGCCAAAAATGCGATTTTTTGACACTTTGAGCCCGTTTTTCTCAAAATTGAGACGTGATGGGACAATTTCATTTACAGATTCGTAATCTACGTCAAAAATCCTATAAGAATCACCATCGTTTACTCTTGTGGCAAAAAAAACCTAAATTTTGTCGACCAGTGTTATGCAAAGGCGCAATTAAATAGACCAAATCACGGAAAATTTCAAAAATTTGGTTCGTACTCAACAAGTGCTACAATGTGTTCAAATGGTTAAAAGATATTTATTGATATATCATATTACTCGGAATTTCATAAACTTTCCAATAAATTTTGTTTCAAGTCTCTATCTTAATTATTGGCTGAGTTAGCTTAGTTTGAACACATGTATGTTTTGGATGGTACTCAATTGACGCCTTACCGACAATTGCCGACGGTAGTGTAATACGTAAATATTAATATTGCAATTTAAAAACAGTAATTAGGTGAAATTTGCGGTAGAATCGTAAATCGATTCTTAATGGAGGTATATTATATCCCAAGCAAATTATTTTGCACTTAAGATTCAATAGATTCAATAACGTTTATGGCTGTTTCCTTATAAACACGAAATAAATATCTTTAAGTACATCATACTTCCACATCTATCTTAATTAGTACAATTTAACAGTTTATGTTATTGGGGTCTGCACTTGACAATACTAATATAACTTGAACAGTTTCGCAACTTGAAGCGCAAAGTGGACTGTAAATAATGTTCAAATAAATAATAGGAATTTTATACTGGAAAATTCTGTTTCCTTCAGTCAAAACTTTGGAAACCTTAATTTAAATTTATTCATTATTAATAATAAGGTTACAATAATAAGTGGGTACGATGCGTTATCTTCACATTGGAAAGGCAGCTTTACGCTGAGCTGTAATTACAATCAATTATTGTTGTTAAACAATAAAACAACAATTACAAATTACAACAAATAAATTTGTCGTATATTCTATATAAATTTAAGGGACCACAGTACTCTTTTTTCTCAAAATAGAGGAAAAGGTGAATAATTTTTTAATAATAGATCATTAAAAGGTGACAAAAATTGTTATTGACAATTCCTTAAAAAATATTAGATAAAATAATTGGAATAATTTTTAAATTAGAAAAATTCTGAATATTTGAAATCAAAAATTTTTTGAAAATGAATCAAATTTAAAAATAAAGTTTCCAAGAATTATTACAACTCTTAACTACACGGAGAAAAATGCATATTGAAATTAGTATCTAGATATTTCTGCTCAATATAACAATATACACAAATAAATAATAATAAATAATATAATAATAATAATAAACATTTTTTAATATTCTTAGCCCTACATTTTAAAGGTTTACCTTTAAAATAGACATACACGAAAAAAGTAAATTTGAAAATTAGTATCTAGATATTACCGGTCAATATTGTATCATATTTGAATACTAATTTTCAATGTATATTTTTCTCTGTGGTAAAACATTAAAAATCATTTACTATTTTGGAATATGTTCAAAATTTAAAAAAATGCTCTTTTAAAGATTTCTAAATAAAATATTGGCGAAATTACTTCTATCAAGTCTCATTCTGCTAACTGTTTTATTTTTAAAAAATAATTTAAAAATATTTCGGTTTCTATAAACTTTATGTTTTGAATAGAGCTTGCAACAATCTTGCAACGAGCTTTCCGTACAAGATAAATAAGCTGGCATGGCAAGATAGATGTAAGTTTGAGATAAGTAACAAAATATCCTCTTCTCTCAAGCTTGCATTGTAAACGTGTTGCAAGATTACAAAATATACTTGCTGCAAGTTTGCAGTGTAAACATTTTGGTACCTTTTCCTAAACGATTACCTCAAATGCCTTTTTAATCACCTATTTGTTTCTGTAAAGTAGGATCTTTTCAACGATTTCGGTTTTCTAGCTCAGTTTTCTGTTGCATCTCGACACAGAAAGAAATTTAGAGCGAGTAATTTTTTAAATAAAGCGAGTAATTCAAATCGTGTAGTTGTTTAAATTTGTCAATTAATTTTTGCAAAATGAGTGCGCGAGCGCCAAGTGATTATGGACAATGCTTTATCTGTCTGACATTGACAACAAATTTTATGTGAAAGAAACAGGTGGAAATGGTGATTGTTTATTTTCTTCAATCGGTTATGGTTTAAATATAACAAACATTCTCCAACTCCGTCAAGATATTGTTAATTACATAACGTCCGATGTAATTTGGTCTCAATACAGTTTTTGGGCTCAGCATAATTTTAATATTACATCGAGTGCTGCATACAAAACAAAATTAAAAAAATCCGGAGAATTTGGCACTTATCTTGAATGCCGCGCACTTTCAGAATTAGCTCACATTAATGTTAATCTTGTTAGGTTGTTTAACAGTAATTATTATTTTGAAACTTATCAATAGCGCGAAGATGCTTCAACAATTTGGCTTTTATTTACTGGAACTGAAAATTCAAGTGGTCATTTTTAACTACTGATACCTACGTCTGATCCTATTACAGACTCGTGCATAATTGCGAAGAAAATTGATCGCGTTCAAAATGTGGGCTCCGTTGACAATAGAATAATTTCAGAAGTAAATAATAATGATACAGTGGATCAAGGTACTGAAACAGTCAGTGAAAATTTTTCAGTAGTAAATAATAATGATACAGTGGATCAAGATACTGAAACCGATAGTGAAATTTTTTCGGAAATTAGTGCGGAAGAGAGTATAGAAACTATTAAAAAAATTTTTCAATCGCGAAGTGAACCCAAAAAAAAAGAAAGCTTTAACCTTAGAAGAAAAAAGAATGGTTTTGCGAGTAAAAACTTTTTTCGAAATCGAAAAACAAACTTTAAAAAACAATGCTAACATTTGCCGGGAAACTGCAGAAACTTTGGATATTTCAGAAGGCACTGTAAAAAACGTTTCAAGGGAAGCAGCAAAAGGAGAGTTGCAAAAACCCCATCAAAAGAGTGGGAGACCTTCCCTTGTTGTGGATAATTTTTTTTGGAGTGATTCGGAGAAAAATTTTTGATTTTTATATGAAAAATTCATTTCCAACCCTGAATATTCTCCTCGCCGCTTTACAACAGGATGTTCCAGGATGTAACATTTCGAGAACAACATTGTGGAGAACTTTAAAACATCATAATTTTGTTTACGGAAAATTGAAGAAAAAGCCTGTGTTAATAGAAAGTTCTACTGTGGCAAACTTTCGAATAGAATATTTAAGATCCATTAAATCTTATAGGGATTCAAATTGGTCTATTTATTTCTTAGACGAAACTTGGTGTGGTGCCAATCACACACTTCAGACGGGGTGGATGGAGCATGTGACTGAAAATTGACTGGATAATTTTGATGAATATCGTTTCGGTGTGCAGCAAATAGATGGCTATCGAGGTGGTTTCGTAACTCCTTGCGGTGCAGGAAAGAGAGTTATCATCTTGCATGTCGGAAACGAAAATGGCTTTGTCGATGGATGCATGAATTGCTTTATAGGTAAGGACCTGTATATTGTGCAATTTTTAACGTACTATTTAATATAACAATAAGACTATTTATAAATTAAAAAACTTCTTTTTAAGTAAAGCATTAATTTGCCATTTTTTATATTTTTTTACGCATAACGCATTTTTTTTGAATAAAAATTAAATTTTCACTGCACATTTGACATTTCCGTTATAAAGTATTGTTCTTATTTATAGGACAGAAAGGGTCATCAGATTATTATCAAGAGATGAATGCTAAACATTTCGAGGAATGGTTTAGAAATCTGTTGGCAAAGGTGCCAAAGGATTCGGTTATAGTGCTTGATTAGGCCCCTTATCACACCATGCTTGATCCCGAATTTCGTAATTTCACCACAAAATGGAAAAAACAAAGCATCATCGACTGGTTGATTCGACGAGGCGTTGCAATTCCAACCAATGTAGAATCGTTCAATAAAATGAAAAGAGATGAATTGTACAAATTATCGCAGGAGCATCGATATCCGAAGATTTATCTCCTTGAAACTATAACAAAGGAATTGAGGGGTAATGATGTAAAATTGTTGTGGATGCCAGTAGCTTATTGTGAGCTAAACCCCATTGAACTCATCTGGGCACATCTTAAGAGACAGGTGGCAACTAATAATAAAACATTCAAAATTAATGATGTTTTGGAGCTATGTAAGGAGCAGATGAACACAGTTCCATCATCATTGTGGCTAAACTGTGCCCGACACGCTAGAGAAATTGAGGATCAATATCGAGGACAGCACAATGACGTAGACCGTTTTATAAGTCCCTTGATAATAAATGTGGGAGCAGAAGACAGTGATACCGATGACGAAGAATTTGATATCCAAGACGATGTTTTAGTATCTGCAGAATTTGAAGGCGTTTAAAAATAAAAGAAGTAAGTGCTTTATTTTGTTACTTTTCTGTTTTAATCTACAGATATGGATTGCTTTAGAAATATGTGTCCCATTACTGCAAGAATGCGGAGCAAGTTTAATATTTAATTTAATTTAATATTTTTGTGACTTGATTTCTTTTTACTCTCACCCAAATTTCACGTAAGCTTGCAGCAAGCTCGCTTTGCAAGTTTGCAATGCAAAACTGTTGCAAGCTTGCCGCAAGTTTGAAATGTCCCACTGTTGGCAATATTGCACTGCAATCTTGCTGCTGAAATCTTGCAGCATTAAAGTAAATTATTTATCTATGCTTACAAAAAGAGAACACTTTTGTTACTTGCAAAAAAGTTGTCAAGCAAGCTTACACGGATTTAACTGTATTAAAATATTAAAAATTTTTATTGCAGATGGTGTTATATTTTTTGGTGGGAGAAAGAATTTTTTACAGAGAAATTTTGATTCTTCATCACTGATTTCTTTTTTCACAATCCTTCGTAAATGTCGCTTGAAAAAACCACATGCCCGAGGTGTTTTGTAGATTTTGCCCCTTTCGCCTTTTTGCATTTCGTATATGTACCTTATAAAAAACAGTTTATAAAATATAATTATTTTATCTAAAGGAAATCAACTTCAAAATTTAACGCGATAATCTTCTTATTTTCCTAAAAAGTCAGGTGAAATATTTTGTATACCAGTCAAAAAGTAAATTTTTAGGTTGGGATTTTATTTTAATAAATTGGTAGAAATTCAGCAATTGAAGATTATCAAAACTAATTAAATACATTTTATAGAATTAATGAAATTTTTTTAATTAAATACATACCGTATAACGCAAGTAATAAGCAAAGTTTCAATTTCTGTTTTCGTAAAACACGAGCAAAATTAAAAACTTGTTGCTCTATCATGCCTGAATCGACAGTTTGCCTAGTGCACTAAACGTATAGTGAGCGTATGCGCAGAACGCATTTTAAATAATTTTTTTATGAACAAAATGGAATAAACTCCAGATACGCAATAAATTGTTACAAAAAACAAATTGCATGTGAAGCGCTTAAAATATTTAATACATAATTATAAATTTTTTTTTCTAAGAATATTTATAAAATTCTGGACATCACCTCACTTATTATTTTCAACTGTTTCCGGTATTCGAAAAATAAATATAAAATTTCTTCATTATTACTATAAAAAGCTATAAATAAAAAAATTGGGTCATTTACATAAAAAAGTTAACTGAACTGAAAAAGTTGTCAAAAATTTGATAATTTTTGTTGTACATTTCTTTAGAAAAACGATTATTATAAAATGTAAAATTGTGAGATACATGTATCAGCAGAAGTTCGTTACGTTGCCATGCCAACCAAGCATATTTGCCAAGTTGACCGGCTTATGAGATAATTTGCAAATGGCCTCTTGGTGTAAATCCGAAAGTTTAATTGTTTGAGAAGAAAATTAATTCATCGGTAAAATTTTACAGTTTCAAAAGATTCTATACTTTTATACAAAACTTTAAATTAATTTGTTTCGATTTTTGTAAAATTATGGCCGACGATACTAAAACATATGCAATAGTTGGTTTTGCGGATGGCCTGGTTATCATTCCCACGTGTTGGACTGTTTATGAAGGAAATAAAATAACTCAAAGTTTTTATCCTTTCAACTGCGCACAAGGAAAAGTCATTAAATTACTACTTTCAAAAACTCCCCTAAAAGATGACAATGCGCGTCAATTGCTTCCTGTACAAAAGCTTCATTCGTATGCAGGTAAGAAAAATAAATCTTGTATATGAAAACATTTATTAGGTTATATTGAAGTTTTAGTAAATTAATAGACTTTCCTTAAAAATACTTTTTTTACTCTTTTAAATTCACTGTAGTATACAGACCGTTTTATTATTTAATGTGTTTTTTTGCTAATTTTACCAACTAAAATCAAGGTTTATCTAATAGCACATTCGGTTATGTTGCTCTGAGAGCGCCCTTACTCAGAGCAAGAGCAATTGGCAACTTTGCCACAGAGTGCTTTGCTTCAGAACGAAGCAATGTGTGACGCCATTAGCAGTGATCTGCCAATGATCTGCTCCATGGCAGAAAGGCAAATGACGTCATAAAATAAATTCTTTTTCAGAGCACTCTGCTTGCGAGCGACTGGAGTACCTACTCCAAAGCAGATTTTTCAATTTAGCGCAAAGTAAAATTTTTTTAAAAATTTTATTTTTTGAAAAAATTATTAGGAACTAAATAAAAAAGCGCATATAAAAAATTGTCAATGAAAAATAATAATTATTATTATTATGAAAGACGTAATAATTTTGATTTTTCGAGAATTTCGAGTTTTATTAAAAAAATTATTGACTATTTAATAATAATAATTAAATTTTTTTATTAATTTTATTGATTTAATTTAATTTATTTAAAATTAATACAGAATAATAATGAATTAATTAGTTACTAATATTAGTAATTAATAAAAAATTAATAACCTATTTACTTCTAGCTTATTCCAAAATGTCTCCTTTTTGACAGTAAAATAATTTCTTATAATATTAAAAAGATATCATTTAAAGAACTTTCCTTTTATCATAAAAGAAAATCCTCTTAAATATAAATATTAAAAGGAAAATTCGTTTACGATGAAAGGATTCGGTTAAAATTAAATAGATTGTCCTCTCAGTGTATATACATTTAAAAAAAAAATTTCTCTTTTTCTGATATTAGTAAAATTGAACAGCTTGAGTAATAAAAGTGAAAAATAAATTTTCAGAACATATGTAACCAAAGGTTGTAGAGAGTAGAAATAAGTATGATTTGAGAAAAAAATTTAGTGTTTTATGGAGCTTTGAGTCTTTTAAATCGGTAAACAGGAAAAGGTTTTATTGGGAGGCCTGTTCTATCCCTTTTTTGCAAAAAGTGAAATGTGGTCAAAAAGATGTTGGGAATTTCCGCATACATACTATTTTCACAAATTTCCTCTCTTTTTTCTATCCCCACTTCATTTTCAAAAATTTTCCTTTTTTTAACACCCTTTGAACCATTTTAGTTTTGCTTAAGCAACGTTTAAGTGTACAGTGACTGAAAAGTGCTCTTAAAAATAATTTTCCATCATGTCAAACAGTGAAAAAATAAATTTTAAAAGTTTTTTCCTTGACGAAAAAAATAAGGAAAGAGTGGAAACTGATGATGAAATTATGTGTAACGTAATAATAGACGGTATTTAATTATATTAAAATAAAAAAATTAATTCTTATTTATATGAATGAATGATATATGAATATTTATATGATTATTAATAACAACAATAATAATTATTATTATTATTAATACTATTATAAGTATTATTATTATTATTATTATTATAACATTAATAATAATGATAAAAGAATACTGATGATAATAATAACAATAATAATGATTACTATTCTTAATATTATTATTCTTATATTATTATTGTTATTATTATTATTATTATTATTGTAACATTAATAATAATAACAACAGTAATAATCACGGAGAGAAAAATCTGCCTTTTATAGTATAGAAAGGTTTACATTTAATGCACAGAAATTTTCTATGCTATATAGACATGAAATTTGAGTAATTATAGTACAATCGTATGTCTTTTTAGCATGAAACTTGTCTATGCTAATAATGTTTGTCATATAGCCTCTTATTACATACTTATTATACTTTTAATCCAACGGCGCCATGCGAAGATCGCACATAACATCATCCTACTATGTTTGCATAAGTTCTATGCTTTTTCGGGGATAGACTCTTGCGACTGGCGATTAGGCATTTGTGTGAGTATTCACACAGTTACTTCCAATTCAGTAAAAGTGGGCGTGGCCTAATCGCCAGTTGCAAGAGTCTATCCCTGAAAAAGCATAGAACTTATGCAAACATAGTAGGATGATGTTATGTGCGATCTTCGCATGGCGTTGTTGCTATTAAACTACATGTTTCGTACTATAGAAGCATATATACTATGCTTTTTTAGTACGGACAAATACTATCCTAAAAATTCTCAAATCTTTGCTCTATTAGTATGAAAAGTTTAAAGAAAAATAGCAGCAATCTATTTCATACTATAAAAGGCAGATTTTTCTCTCCGTGTGTAATTGAATTTTAAACACTTTTATCCGCCATATTATATCTACTATTTTTTATTTTATTATATTTACTAGAAATGTAGACTCAGCGAACTCAAGAATCTTATTGTGAGCAGTTCCAACCAATCCCCATTATATTTTGAATTTTGGCAGTTTTTCGAGTCCTTCAGACCACTGTGCAAAGGCGCAATTAAATAGACCAAATCGCGGAAAATTTCAAAAATTTGGTTCGTACTCAACAAGTGCTACAATGTGTCCAAATGGTTAAAAAATATTTATTGGTATATCTTATTACTTGGAAATTCATAAGCTTTCCAATAAATTTTGTTTCAACTCTCTATCTTAATTTTTGGCTGCGTTAGCTTAGTTTGAACACAAGTATGTTTTGGATGGTGCTCGGTTGACGCCGTACCGACAATTGACGACGGTACTGTATATAACATTTTTAATATTGTTATGATTCTATACCTATATACTTGTTGCCATAAAAATATTAAAAATAAATTTTGTTAATTCAAGTATAATATTAAAGTTTAGAAAAGATTTCCTTCTCAAGTTAACATAATTAAAAATCTGTAAATATTTGAACCATTTTTTTAAATCTAAATTAAAAAAAAATTTTTTATTAAAAAAAGTTTTGTTAAAAGTATTTAAATTAAATTTTAAAGCAGTTCAAATAAATACTGCATGACCTTTTTTTAAAATCCAGTTAATTATGAAAAAGTTTTTAAAAAAACTGTAGACCCTTAAATAAATTTAAAAAAAGAATTCTTGTTTCATTAAGTGAAAAATTAAAAAAAATTAATTTAAAAATTATAAAATTTTTATTAGCTTAAAAATTATAATATTTTTATTAAGTTAAAAAAATTGTAATTTAATTTAATTTTTTTTTAAAATTATAAAAATCGTTTTTAATTAAAAAATTTTAAATGTTATTTTAATTTAAAGATTTTTAATGTAAAGACGCGAGGAACTTTTATAAATTGCCAAATGCTTCGAAAATACAATAAAATTTTCCTACGCCTTTGGCAACGCCAACTTCTTTTTTTTGGTACATTTTTCCAGGCTTCTGAAAACAGGTCATAAACGAAACAGTTGAACCTGAGTTTTTGGAGGGTATCAGTTACTCCTTCCTATTCATCAATTTATAAAAAACTTTTGAAGTAAAAAGTGGTAAATAAAACGGAATGTTACATTTGTAAAATGAAAATTTTTTTAGATTCAGAATTAAGAATTTTTTTCTGATATACTCAATTTTATTAGAAGTTTTTAACACAATTTGGAGCTGAGATTGCAATTATCCATACAATCGGTTGTGTAGGTAATTGTTTATCTGTTTTTTTAAAAACAAATTTCACATATTTTTAAATTAATTATTAGCGCATCTCAGTGATTTTTTTCAAATTTTTTCTATAATTTTTTCTATGAAATCTGATGAGTGAAAATTGACCCATAAGCAAATCACTCAAAATACCCTGTTTTTCTACATATTTGCACTTGTAACTTTTTTAAAAATTGTTTTACTAAGGTGTCATGAATGAGAAGTTTATGTAGTATTAAATTATCTATCCAATAATCTTTCTCTCGTTTTATAGCGATTTTTTTCAACGTTTTATCCCTGTTTTCTACGAAGGGCAAGGATTTTTGAAACGCATAGTACACTGAAAAACATTCAGTGTCGCTGCCTCACCTACGAATGTCGCTACCATACATTTCGGAGGGTATGTACAATCCCGATTTCGGAAGGGAGATTAGCTCGCAAGGGAACACTACCTCACCGCGAGAGAAGGTTACAACACTGGTTTTTCGTCCAATCAACTAGCTATAAAGCTTCCCGCCTGTTCGGGAAGGCTACCTGCTCTCAAGATTCGTTGACGCACCCGAAAACCGTAGGACAGAGCACTCGAAGCAAGAGTACGCAGCGCCATCACCACACAGGCGACAGCCACACCGAATTTTTTTCAGTGTAGTTTTGGCAAAAATGCACCGACCAAAACTAGGTTTGGCCGTTTTCGGCTTTTGAGCCTAACATATATAATTTATACAATCATTTGTAAATATTTTATTTGTAAAAATTTGTTCTTAAGTAAAATAAATTTCTATAACGTTTTTTACCTTTAATTTTTTAAAAGAAATTAATTTAAAGTGCAGGTTGATTGAAATAGGTCTTTTTTACCACATCCTATGTTAGGGTTAGAATTTGATGGGAAAAGGTTTTAGGTTTTTATTGGAAATCAATCATAAATAAAAAATTTAAATTTAATTATAAAAGTAGTGGATTCCTCCTACTACCATTCTATTATTCAGAACGTCGTTGAGATTCGTATTCTTATTTTACTCTTAATTTGATTAATCAGAAAAAAAGGAAATATGAGAATGGTTCAAATATAGAAATCACAATTTAAACTTCAAAGAAAAACATGTATTTTATAAAATAGAATCAAATACTTTTAGTACATGTATCAAAATAATGTGTTGAATAGAGTGAATGTCTGTGTAGTGTTAATATAATGCATTAGAACTCACCAAAATCAAATCAATAATATTTAAATCAATAGTCCTTAATAGTCAATCAATATTCCAATATTCAAGAATCCTCAATTCAATAATCAATATCTCAACAAATCGATATTCCATAAATGTCAAATCAATATTCAATAATCAATATTCCAATATTCAATAATCCTCAATTCAATAATCAATATTCAATAACTCAATAAATCGATGAACCAGTATCCAATAAATGACAAATCAATATCCAACAAATCAACAATATAATAAACCAATATTCAATAATCATAAAATCAAAATCAATATTTCAATAAATCAATCCAACTAAAAGAATTTCTCCACTTAGAGAATTCTTTTACAATACACACTTTGTTCAATCCCAAACTCCGGGTTGTAACACCGTCTCCACTTGAGACAAAAAAAAAAAGATTTGTTCCGTTTCCGTTTTATATATACATATTGTACAAGTTTATGT